GCCCCGTCACGTGACGCGCCCGCCTGCGCGCGCAGAGGCCCCGCCCCGCTCGGGAGCGCGCGCGGGAAACGGCTCCGGGAACGGGACGGGAAGGGACGGGATGCGATGGGATGGGAATGGGATGGGAACGGGTTCGTGCAGATCAGCCGTGGGGCAGCGCGGCCTTTCTTTCCAATTTCCTTTTCTTTTCTCTTTATGCCCTTTTATTTTCTCCCCCCTCCTTTTCATTTAGTTTTACCATTTTTCCTTTTCCCCATTTTCTTCTGGTTTTCTTGCCCCTTTTTCTTTTCTTTTTTTCTCCTTTTCTTCTTTTTTTCCTCTGTTTTTATTTTCTCTTTTCTCTCCCTTTTCCTTTCCTCTCCTTTTTCTTTTCTTTCCCCCTTTTCCTTTCTATTTTTCTATTTTCCCCCTTTCCCCTCCTTTTTCCTTTTTTCTTTTATCTTATTTTTCCTTTAATCTCATTTTCCCCTTTTCCTTTTCTCTTTTCCACTTTTCCCTTTTTTGCCATTTCTCTTTTTCTCCCTTTTTCTTTTCTCTTTTCCTATTTTACTTTCTCTCTTTTTCCCATTTCCCCCCTTTTTCTGTTCTCTCTTTCCCCTTTCCCTTTTTCTCCTTTGATGCTCAGCCCTGTGCCCCGTTAAATTCAGCTCCCCAGGGCACGAGGACATTCCTAAGCAATAAAAGCCCCTCTCCCTCTGTGCCATAACTCACAGCAGGGCCCGGGAACAAACAGCTGGAGACACATCTGGAGCAGAGGTTGGGATCCCCCAGTGGAAGCCCCTTCCCTTGGGATGTGTGTCCAAAACCAGCCTCAATGAACTGAATTTGAGGGAAGCCCTTTGCCTCGAGCTCTTGCTGGGCACAGATTGGAGCCGCTGGTTCTTGGCACGTGGAAACAAAATTTTCCATGAATTTTTAAAGTTGGACAACAGAATAATTTCTGTCCAAGCCCCTCTTCCCCCTGCAGATGTGTGGCTTCACCTGTTACTTTGATTCAATAGCCAAGGCAATATAATAAACTGCACCAAAAACTCACTTCAGATTTTATAGTTGTTGATCCTTTAGTGTGTAAATATACTGAAAGAAAACAAAACCAGCCAAGAAAGAGGAAGAATAATGCTCCTGTATAATGCTCCTGAGGAACTGCTGCAGCACTCTCTGCTGGTTAGTAATGCACAGAGAATGGCCTTAGGAAACTGAAAATTCCAGGTATAACACCTAAAATAATTTGCAACTTAGGTACTGTTTTCCTAATTAAAATACAATAAATTCCTCTCTAAAGCCGGGACATAGAAAAATAACACACAGCAAAGGGGAAAAAATCATATTATGAAAACTCTTCCCAAGTATTTAACAGAATTATTTCAATTTTAGTATCAGTTTTTCAGTCACCAGTTTAAACAGAGCAGCCAGTACTCCCCACTGGAAGCAAGAAGAGTGATAAATCCACTGTTTAATGAACTTTCACCTGCCAAACAGAAGGAAAAAGACAAAATACATAAACACTGCAGCACAGGGAAACGTTCTTAAATTCAACACATTTTACAGGATACGAAGATTTGCAGTTGCAGAACTGAGAGCTGGGCCAGGGTTGGTGCTTCTGCTCCATAACTCGGCCAGGGGGAGACCAGATCCATCAGCAAAACTGTTTGTTCAGGTCATTTCCAGGCAACCAGAGCTGTCTCCCACAGGGACACCAGTGGGGAAGGGCAGGAGGGTTATAAACAGCAAATTCTATGGAATATCAACCTGTGCTTGTCCCGATCCCGCTCAGCAAACCTGGAACCGCGGCTGCTTCCCGGCAAACCTGGCCTTAAAGCAGCAGCTCTGCAGGGGAATATCCGGGCTCCAGGAGGCACTGGGAGGCTGTTCCAGCAGGAATTCCCCATGGAATTGCGGGCTGTAGGTAGAATTCCTCTAAACCTGCAAAGCTGAGACCGGAACCCAAACCTGGGCCCCCGCAGAGAACAATCTTTGTGCTGCCCTGTCGGCCAAAGCCGCTGCACTGAGAGATCTTGGCAGCCTGAGGGAGGGCATTCTCTCCATGCCAGCAACCAGCATCTCCCCAGGGGACAATCCAAGTCCCAACCAATTCCTTTGGCCTTTCCACAGGGACAGTGACCCTTATTTGGTCCTGCTCTCCCACCGTTCATTTTGGGGGATCCATTTGTGCTGGTTTATGTTCCACGACTCCACCCACAGCTGGAGATTTGGGGCTGTGCTTCTCTACTCCCAGCAGGTTCCCTAAGGAGCCAGATACTCCAACAATCCCCTCGTTTGACTTTCTAGGTGAATTGTACACAAGCCAGTCCCCCATTCCCTATCCAGGCTGGGAGTGCTCGTGCCCTTGGCACAGTTGGCTCTGGCTGGGCAGGAACTGAGAACAGGACACGGGGCAGAGTGGATCAGCTGCCCAGGGATCCTCCAGGATTCTCACAGAGACAGCAGCATCTGTGCTAAAAGCAGTTGAGGTCCAGGAAGAGACTGGGACAAACCAGGACAAATCAGTATGGCTTCTGAGGGCTTTCCAGGCTTTGCCAGCAGCCTTGGAAGTAGCGCCAGTGAGTTCTGATGGGTTTCTGGTGGGTCACTGCTTGAGTCTTCTCCTTTTCCCTGAACCTCTGGTGTGTACTTTCTGAGCTCAGCTGGAAACAGATTTTCCAGCAAACAGAAATCTTCCTCATCCTGAGAAGCTACGTTTTTTGAACTTCCCGTCAGAGCAGATCTTCAGAGCTTTCTTCCCAGGAGCAATGAGACTGGGACGTCTCCTTAACGCTGCGGCTCCGGAGGCTCCCGAGCTGCAGCGGGACAGAGCCGCGGGGCGCGGGCAGCGCAGAGCGGCGGCGTTATCGGTGCCGGCGCAGGTGGCAGGAGCCGCGTGCGGTCGGTGCCTCGGCCGCGTCCCCGGCGGGCGGTGACCGCCTCCTTCCTGCCCCGGCGGCGAGGCGAGCGCGGGGGCAACAGCTGCGGCAGCCCCCGCCATGTGCCACGCCCCGCGCGAGCACCCGGGACCCGCCCGCCCCCGCGGGGAGCCGGGGGCTGCTCCCACCGCCCGGGGAGGGGGCACCGGGGAGGGGGCCCCGGGGCTCTGCCTCGAGCCGCTCCTCGGGGCGGTCCCGTGGAGGCTCCGGCGGGATTGGGGCTGAATCCTGTCAGCGCGGGGATGGCTCTTGCCGGGCTCCAGCGGCAGAGTTGGACCCACGGGGGGGTACAGGAGGGGCCCCCCCGGCCCAGGTGCTGGGGGGGGGCGGCTCCCCCCGGGGACATCCGTGTGCCGGCCCACTGTGGCGAGGTGTGTGACGCCAGAAGCGGAGCCGAGCCTCATATTTGGGCACGAAGCAGGTTATTGGAGGCCGTGGCCCCGCAGCTGGGCGATCCCCCGGCTGATAAAGGCTCCCCTGGTGCTGCCGCCTGCACCGGCTCCGGCGCTGCCGCTACATCATCCCCTGCCTGCGCTGGGGGTGCGGGACGGTGGGATGGGGCCGGTCGGGGCGCTGGGGCTGCTGCTGTGCCTGCAGCTGTGTGGGGGTGAGTGGCGGGGTGGTGGGAGCGGGACACGCCGGTGCGGGCCGGCTTCAGGCCCCTCCGTGCCGCAGGCTCCGGGAGCTGCGGCTGGTGGGGGGCGCGGAGCGCATTGTGCCGGACGCGTGGAGGTGAATCACGACGGTGAGTGGGGCTCCGTCTGCGTCTACGACTTCGACTGGCAAGCCCGCTGGGCCACCGTGGTGTGCCGGCAGCTGGGCTGTGGCCGCGTGGCCTCGTCGTCCCCGTACGCCCCGTTCGGGCAGGGCAGCGGCCGGATCTGGCTCCAGCCCTTCTTCTGCCTTGGCACCGAGGAGGTGCTGGAGGAGTGTCCGCACTACGAATGGGGCCAGCACTACTGCGACCACGAGCGGGACGTGGGGGTGATCTGCACAGGTGAGGGGGACAGGCTGGTCGTGCCAGGACACCCACCTTGTGCCGGGGTGTGCCAGGCAGGGCTGAGCTGTGCCGGTGTCCCGGTGCAGAGGCCGTGGAGCTGAGGCTGGTGGATGGCGGCGGTCCCTGCGCCGGGAGGGTGGAGGTGAAGCTGCGGGGACACTGGGGCTCGGTGTCAGATGAGATCTGGGACATGGAGGATGCTGAGGTGGTGTGCCAGCAGCTGGGGTGTGGCTCGGCTAGCCGGTGCCTACTCCTCCCATGACCGCTTTGGGCAGGGACCGGGCCCATCAGCCTGGCCCTGGTGGACTGCAATGGGGACGAGGCCACACTGTGGGACTGCAAGATCCGCGGCTGGGGACCCTACAGAGGTCCCCATGACTATGACACTTCCGTCATCTGCCAAGGTAGGAGCCGGGCTGGGAGGGACGCGGCACTCCCGGCACATCCCTCAGTGCCAACTCTGCACCGCTCCCGCAGGGTTTTCCCGGCTGGTCGGAGGTGACAGAGCCTGTGCCGGGCGGTTGGAGGTGCGGCAGCGCCAGGCCTGGGTTGGCGTCTGCGCGGAGCACGTGGACATGAAGGTGGCCCAGGTGGTGTGCCGGGAGCTGGGCTGCGGCGCGGCGCTGGCCATCCCCGGCAGCGGCCGGTTTGGGGCGGGAACGGGGCCGCTGTGGGAGGGGGGGTTCAACTGCACCGGCACCGAGCCCCTCCTCAGCGCCTGCGCCCGGCGGGTGCCCCACAGCCAGGGCTGCGCTGGCCACGCCACCATCATCTGCTCCCGTAAGCACCGGGGACACCGGGGGTGTTGGGGGTCCCCCCAGCATCACCCCCCTGAACGGCCTTTCTGCCACAGCCTACACGGGCTTCCGGCTGGGGAACAGCAGCTCGGGCTGTGCCGGGCGGGTGGAGGTGGCGGTGAGGGGCACGTGGGGGTCCGTCTGCGCCACCGACTGGGACCTGCCCGATGCCGACGTCCTGTGCCGCCACCTGGGCTGTGGCCACGCCGTCACCGTGCCCCCGGGAGGCTCCTTCGGCAGCGGGGACGGGCCGCTGAGGCCGGACGCCTTCGGCTGCAGCGGGAGCGAGCGGCACCCGGGCGAGTGCCCCGTGGCGGTGCTGGGGGAGCCCCCCTGCACCCCGGGGAACGCCGCCGCCGTCAACTGCTCAGGTCTGTGTGGCACCTGTGGGAAGAGCCTCCAAGGGCTTTTGGGACACCCCAGGAACTGGGAGCGGAGCACTCAGGGCTGTTTTGCAATGAGGGGAGGGCTGAACCAGGTGCCACAGCCCCACGGCACTGCTGGTGATTTTCAGGCACTGAAGGCACCATCAATTCCGTGCGGCTGGTGGAGGGTGAGAGCCGGTGTGACGGGCGGCTGGAGGAGGCCATAACCACCCCAGCCTGGCGCCGTGTGCCTGTGGAGCAGCAGAAGAGATGGGATGTCTACATGGTGTGTGCTGTGCTGGGTTGTGGCCTGCCAAAGGAGATCTACACAGCCTTGGGTATGGCACCCACTGCACTGACCAGCAGCTCCAGGGAGGTGGATGTTGTGATGGAGAAGATGGATGTCGTGAGGAGGGAGATGTCGGGGATGGGCCCTGAGCTGACCAGGAGCCTTGAGGAGATGGAGGACGTGCCAGAGAAGATCTCTGATGTCTTAGGGATGGGCCCTGCACCAACCAGCAGCCCTGAGGAGATGGTCATCGTCTGCTCAGGTGGGTGTCCCGAGAAGGGCCGGGGTGCTGGTGCCCCGAGCAGCCCCCAGCCCGGTCCTTCCGTGCCCGCAGGCAGCCGGCGGGTGAGGCTGGCGGGCGGTGCCGGGCGCTGCGCCGGGCGGGTGGAGGTCTATGCCGGTGGCACCTGGAGCAGCGTGTGCCAGGAGCGCTGGGACCTGCGGGCCGCCGCCGTTGTGTGCCGGGAGCTGGGCTGTGGCGCGGCACTGGAGGCCCCCGGCTCGGCGCGCTTCGGCCCCGGGCCGGGGACAGCGTGGCCGTACGTGGTTGAGTGCGCCGGGAGCGAGGAGTCTCTCTGGGAATGCCCACGCTCGGAAGGGCGCGAGTGCGAGCGCGGGGCCGGGGCCGGGGCCGTCTGCTCAGGTGAGTGTCGGGTGTCCCCGGGGCGGGGAGCAGCAGAGCCCCCGGGGGGTTCCCGTCCGTGCCGTGACCCCCCTGCTCCCCTCGCAGAGCAGCTCTCCCTGCGGCTGGCGGGCGGGCGCGGGCGCTGCAGCGGGTCCCTGGAGCTGCTCCACAACGGCACCTGGGGCCGCGTGTGCGCCACCGGCACCAGCCCCGGCACCGCCGCCGCCGTCTGCCGGCAGCTGGGCTGTGGGGACGGGGGGCAGCTGGCACCCGTAGCAGCCCTGCAGCCGGCCCCCGCCTGGCTGGCCTGGGTGGGCTGCGAGGAGGGGGGCCCGCTCGCTCTGGGGGTGCCCCTCGGCACCCTGGCACCTGCAGGCCTGCGGCCCCGGAGGGGACGCCTACGTGGCTTGCGCGGAGGACAGTGACAACCCCAGCGAGACAGCCACCCACCTGTGCCCGGACGGGGCCACCTGCACAGGTAGCTCTGCCCGTGCCAGCAGCCCCCCCGCCGGGCCGGCTGGGATCCCCCTGCCCTCACTGCCTGGCCGTGTCCCCACAGCTGTCCCCAGCAGCAGCGGCCCTGCGGTGGCCAGGGGGACTGTGCCGGTGCCAAGCGGGCAGGTGGCCAGGGGGACTGTGCCGGTGCCAGTGGTGCTGTGCGTGGTCCTGGGGACGCTGCTGTGCCTGGCCCTGGGCGCCCTGGCCGTGCTGATGTGCCATGCCCGCGCTTGGCGCCGAGGTGGGTCCCGGCGGGTGGGTGCCGGGGCAGAGCCGCTTTGGGGGTTCAGGGGCTCCCCCCGTGTGGAACGGCTCGGAGGGTGGGCAGTGGGTGACCCCGGTGCCACCCACGGTGCCCACGGCCCTGGGAGAGCGCTGCCTCTTGTTGCAGGCCCCGGCAGAGCCGTGGGTGCCATCCCCGACGCCATCTACGAGGAGCTGGACTACAGCGCCATGCCGGAGTACCAGGAGGTGCCCAGTCGCCCAGGTCGGTGCAGCCCCCGTGCCCCAGCTCTGCCCGGACAGGGGGGCTCTGCCCCACAGTCCCACCGCGGCAGCGGGTCCTGGTGGCACAGCACTGGCTCCTCCCCGTGGTGTGGGGGGTCCCTGGGTCCCATCACAGCCCTGCTCTGTGGCTGAGGTTGTGTCACCCGCGGTGCCACCTCTGGCCACCCCCAACACTCTGTTTTCCCCCTGCAGGTTCCCCGCGGGAGGGCTCAGTGAAGAAGCTGCTGTATTACACCGGGGACAGCGTGGAGGGGAGTGACACCGGGGCAGCCCCAGGTAGGGGCACAGGGCAGGAACCCAGCGGGGAGTGCTGGGGACAGGGGACACGGCAGGGCTGGGGAGCTGAGGGGACACGTCCCCCTCGTTAGTGGGCAGAGAAGCATCGCCTTTCCCTGAGGGACCAAGGGCCACCAACACATTGCTGGTGGCACAGCCGGAGGGCGATAGCACAGCCGGAGGGGGATGGCACAGCCAGTCCCTACCATGGCCACCGGGTCAGTGCCATGTACCCCCGTGCCAGTCCCAGCCCCCCCTGCCCTGCCCGGGCACGGAACCACGGATGGCTACGACGATGCCACAGCAGGAACCCTGGATGACTACGATGATGCCATGGCTGGAACCCTGGATGGCCACGATGATGCCACGGCCGTGCCAGAGGAGTCTCCCACTCCCAGCACTGGGGACATCTCCGAGGGGGTGGCACAGAGGGGCTGGATCTGTGTCCCACCCACAGGTAAGAGGGACCACAGCTGCCCTGTCCCCCCTGCAGAACCATTCCATGGGGGGTTTGGCTGTGGTGGCGAGCTGGGATCCCGCACCAGATCCACGGGGGCTGCAGAAACACAGAAACACCCCAGGTGGGGTCTGGAGGGGGGACACGGAGTTGTCCCCCTCAGGCACCTGCCTTTGCTGTCCCCAAGGTGGGAGCTGCCCCCCTCCAAGTCCCCCCGGAGCCACAGGGGACCCCCCGGGACAGCCCCCGGGGCACATGGACTATGATGATGTCGGCACCGGCACCCCGGGGATGTCGCAGTGAGGATGTCCCGGCCATGCCCCATCCCTGGGGACACGTGTGCAGGGTGGGGGGGCTATGGCCATGGAGGTCACATCTCCCTGACCAGGACTGCAGTGCAGGCAGAAAAGTGCTCTATCGTAGGGATTTTCTTTTATATCAATGTGAATTTCTCTTTTTTCCTATTAAAACCCCAAACTGGCTGAAGACTCACTCCCAAGTTGGCACCTCACTCCCAGGTACATCACCCATCCCTTGGGGATGTGGGGCAGGAGCTGGTACTGCAGATACATCCCTGGGCACGATGGGATCAGGGGGAAGAGCACAGTATCCTGGGATTGGCTCCAGGGTCTTTATTTCTTTATTTGGCATTGACAAACCCATACAGTTACTCCCACCAACACTGTGGGGAAAAAGGAGAAGACAGGAGCTGGACATCTTGCAGGTGCAGCAGGGTCTCCTCCCTGTGCCCCCCTGTGTGGCACAGGCTCAGACTCACATGGCAGCACCAAGAACTAGGCTGGGAATGGCTCTGGTTTTTGGAAGGACCTTTCCTAAAGGATTGGAGCTCTCCTGAAGGAGGGAAGTGCCTTCCTGCCGCCTGGCTGGACCCCACGGTGGCAGGGCAGCCGGGCCATGGCCCCCACCTCTGGCACATCATGCTCCAGGAGGTTCCTGATCTTCAGATCGGGCTTCAGGGCCCGGAGAGTGGCCAGTTCCTGCAGCACGTCCTGGCTTAACCCGTCTGTGCTCAGCCTTGGGATGGAGGAAGGAGGAAAAGAGGAGAAGGTGTTAAACCTTGTTAGGAGGGAGGTGTTCAACCACCCAGAATGCTGGTGCCCCCAGCAATGGGGATGCTGGGCATGGAAAGGGGCCGTGCCAGGGCCCTCACCCCAGGGTCCGCAGTGGGCAGGCGGGATGCCGGAGCTGCTGGCAGAGCTGCAGGATGCCATCAGCTCCCAGATCGTTGTCACTCAGGTCCAGGCAGGTGAGATGAGGCCCCTCCAGCAGCTGTGCAGCCAGGGCTGGGCAGCAGGCGCCCGTCAGCCGGCAGCTCCCCAGCCTGTGGGACCAGGGAAACAGGGAAGGGGGGGTTTGACCATCCGGCGGGTGAGCTGTTCCAGGTGGGAAGGAGGGAGCTCCGGTTGGCCCCTTACCGCAGTGTCTGCAGTGGGCAGGCGCGGTGCTGGAGCCCCTGGCACAGCAGCTGCACCCCGGCATCGCGCAGCCCCTCGCTGAAGGACAAATCCAGCTCCTCCAGGCACGGGCTGGTGCCCAGCACGGCAGCGAGGTCCTCACAGCAGCTGCTGGTGAGGCGGGAATAACGCAGCCTGATGGGAACCCGTGCAAAAGATCATCCAGTGGCACCAGGATGTCTGAGGGCCCCCGGTGCCACCCCACCATGGTGACAGTCCCCACCCTGGTGCCGCTGCTCTGGAGCTCCTTGCCCTGGGATAAGTGGGGATAGAGGGCCAATTCCACGCTCAAAGGGGACTTCTTTTGAGGGCACCTCCCCACTCCTCGCCTCCTAGCTGTGGGAGATGCTGTGGGATGGCCGGGGGTTCTGGGGGTGCCGGGGCCACTCACACGCCAGGACGCGCAGGCGGCAAGCCAGGACGCCGAGCCCTCCTGGCAACAGCAGGCGCACGCCGCGGTCGCCCAGCGCGCCGTCCGCCCAGCCTCCAGCTGCGCAGGCTGGGTGTTCCGGCCAGCAGCGCCCGCCAGCTCGCGAGCAGCTCTCGGACAGCCGGCACCAACTGCAGCTTGCGGAGAAGCCATCGGGGAATGGCTGGCTCAAGCACACCCGTCCGGCTGTCGCCCGCCCACCAAACCCCAGGGACCAACCCTCCACAGCCAACGCGGCCGGCCTCACCCCGGCGCACAGTGCCTGGCTGTCGCGCCAGGAGGCAGCGGGGCACTGTCGGAGGGGTGACCAATGTGCCCACACAGCCCTGGCCCTATCTGCGCCAGGCACCGACCCACCCAACCACTCCCTCCGGTTCGGGTGCCCCCACCCACACCCCCATCCCAGCCGCGGTTTGGGCTCAGCGCCGAGCGCGTCTCTCACCGGAGCACCCGCAGGGCACTGCCTGCGTGCTGCAGTGCCTGGCACAGCAGGTGGATGGGGCAGTGCAGCTCCTCCTGCCGCAGCTCAGCGGTGGCACCAGGACGTCCTCCAGCTCCCGAGGCTCCAGAGCTGCAGGGGGACAGAGCCGTGGGGCACAGGCAGCCCTCACTGGTGCCAGGAGCTCCCAGCTTTGACACCGGCACACAGCCCCCCGAGCAGAGCCTTCAGCTCGTAGGAGGGCTCCTCGGGAGGGACCTCTGTGGCTTTGGAGGTGGGAAGGATCACAAGTGTTACTTCTGGAGCCACCTGGGGTGACTTAAGTCACAGGGTGCACTTAACATTTCTGTATCAGGGATCTCCCCTTTGCCTGTGAGAAGGGGGACCCACCTGCACACAGGTGGGTCTGGTCAGGCTTGGGAAGTCGAGCCAAGATGCTCTATCTCCACCAATCCCACAACATGCTGTGGACAGGGGAGCCCACATGCTCCTTGTGCTCCCCAAGAATAAATAAAATCCTCCACTGAGGAACTAAACCCCCAGGGAAAGGCCAGGCTGGTGTTTGGGTGGAAGGAGCTGAAATGCCTTTAAAAACCATCCTTTGGGGCAGAGGAAGAGAAATCTTTGCAGTTTGGGGTCACCAAAGCAAGGAGGGGCAGGACTTACCAGGGCACCAACGCATCCAGCTCCACCCTGGGATCCTGCTGGTGGAAGGAGCATCCCCGGAGGGTGACACAGCCCAGCCCAGCCCACTGCTGGATGCAGAAGGAAAGTGCCATTTGGTCATAGAGAGTCAACTTCATGTCCTGCAAGTCCAGGTCACTGAAAGGACCCAACGCACTTTGTGCAAAGCTCTTCTCATTCATCTCAAACAAGAAGTGGAAAGTGTCCAACTCCGAAATCTTCAGCGCTTGGCTGGGGTGGGAGATGCTCCTGTGCCTCCCCTGAAACCACTTCAGCAAGTCTTCCCTGGCTTGTGGTGAAATCCTGCACCCAATGGTTTTGTCCACATACTCTATGGATTTTTGGCTCACTAAACCAAAGAGGAACTGCACTGTTACATTCAAATCCTTCCTGGACTCACTGTAGCTTTCTAGTAACTTACTTACATCCTTCTCAAGACCCCCCAAGTCACTGACCGTTTCCTCATCGTCCTCCAGAACATAAAACATCGCTGCAAAAAACTCCTGGAGGTGCAGATGGGTGAAGCCATAGACCTTCCCGTGGTCTCCACCTTCCTTTGAGATTTTCTCGTTGAGGAAGAGGGGAAGAAGGTCTGGCTGGCCCAAGCCACGGTCCCTGATCTCCTTCTCCTCAAAGAGGACCTTGTGCTTCCAGATGCCATCAGCAGCCATGGAGCAAAGCCGGAGAAGAAACCTCTGGAGGACCTGCGGATTGTCCCTGTCCCTGTGCTTCAGTAACTGGGAGAGGTAAGACATGGTCATCCTTGTGGTGGCTTTGGAGCACTCAAGGAGGTTTTTCTTCCTGCAAAGCTCTCGTTCAAGGATGGTGCAGACAGTCCAGCTCATGATGGGGATGATGCACAAGCTGTAGAGGATCTCATTGCCTCTGGCAAACCTGAAGGCCATGTTAGCTTTATTGGCATTCTCAAAATATCTGTGGAAATATTCCTCCCTCATGGCTGCTGAAAATCCCAGTATCTCTGCGTAATACTCCCCCTCCAGGCACCGCCCCAGGCTTTGAAGAGCCGTTGGCCTCGTGGTGATGAGCAAAGAAGCCTCTGGGAGAACAGTCCCCTTCAACAAGCTCATCAGGGTGGTTTCCAGCGGCTTCACCTCCCTGGGGTCAGAGCTCAGCTCAGCTTCAGGCTGAACCAAGGAAAATCCCAGGGCCTCAAAGCCATCAAAAATGAACAGGATCTTCTGGTCATCCAGGATCCTCCCAGCCGGCACTCGCTGGTGAGGGCAGCACTGTGAAACCAGGTCTGCCACGCTCGCTTCCTTGGGAAGGGCAGTGCCTTTACAGTCAATGCAGAAGACACAGTCAAACTGCTCGTGGAGGGTCCCTTCTCCCCACTCCACCATCACCTTCCTGACCGTCGTCGTCTTCCCCATCCCCGGGGCCCCCACCAGCACCACGACCCGCGGTGTTTGCCCGTCCTCGTCGGGTCTGAACAGCGTCTGTGCGGTGACGGTGACGGTGGCTGGTCCATTGCTGGTGTTGGCACATCCCACAGCTCCACGCTCAGCTCCGTGCCCGCTCCGAGGCTCCCTGGCGATGGTCAGGGCGGTGTAGTGGCTGCGGATGGATGGGTTCTCCCCGCGACTGGAGTCCCCTGCTCCGTCTCGGAGGAACTCCCGGACCACGTGCTCTCTGTAGTTCCGCTTGTACTCTGTGCCAATGAGAACAGTCAGTTCCAAGCCCAGACGAATTCCCAGCCAGCCCAACTGCACTCCTGACACACCAATGGACACTCGTTTCAACGCTCAGGCCTTTCCTAAGTCTGGCAGAGGCAATAAGGACATAATCTGTGAGGGTTTAGGGTTGCAGGGGTTCTCCTCCTGGGTGCCCTCAACATCCTGATCCATCAACCCGTTTCAACCATCCTCATCCACCTGGGAGCAAATGCAACTGCCTGGGGCCAGCTGCAGCCTCTGTCCCCTTCCACTCATGCTGCCGGGGACAAAGGCACTGCCTGGGCTCCTGGCTCCAAAGCACGGAGCTCTGCAGAGATATCCTTAATGCCCATCCCAGGAGGAAAGGATCTGCCTGCCTGGGAAGTGCTGAGAGCGCTGGATGAGCTTTAAAGTCACTTCCAACCCGAACCATTTTGTGATTCCATGATTTTAAACAATGCGTTTATCGAGGAGTTACAAGCCCGTGTAATTCAGTGCAAGGATGAGCTGCCTGGACAGAGGTGGTGACACTGTCCCCTAGCACTGCTCAAACTGGGAATGCCCAGGCCCATGGCAGCAGGTGGGGAGGCTGCTCAGGGATTCCAGGCTATTCACAGCCCCTCCTGGGTAGCTGGGCTTGGATTTTCACTGCAAGAACTTTCTGCTGCCAGGTAAACCCACCTTGGCTGCTGCAGCAAGTCACTCCACTGTGAGAAACGTCCTTCATCCTGCTTTCCCGGGAGTTCAAGGCAAGGAGAAATGGCTGCTGCCCAAACAGCCACTGGGTTTTGCTGCTGTGTAGCCCTTTCCTCCTTCTCCGGCCGTGGATGGGTTGTAACTGGGGCTCTAGGAAAGGAGAGAGGCTCCTTTAGGAGCTTTGAATGCTCAGGGATGAAATGAGTGTGGGCCTGTGCTGTGACCTGATCTCCTGGTTTTCCTGCTCTAGTTTATGGACTGGGTACCTGTGTCTGGATTAGGAGGGGGTAACCCTCTTGATGATTTTATTTTCCATGAGCGATAATTTTCTTTCCATGATGGAAAAACAAAATGCTTCAGGATGATGTGTTTAGCAATGCTGTCTTTGAGGGACACTGGGGAAGGGAGAAAGGATGTTTTAAGGCACATTGGGAATTTAAGGACTCCTTATTGACTCTTTATTTCCCTCCTCAGGGTCAAACATCTCCTGCTTGCAGAACATCAAATAATTCTGGGAATAACTGCTTCTCTCTAAAGGAAATGGTCTCAAGTTGTGTCAGGAGAGGTTCAGACTGCATATTAGGGAAAATTTCTTCACAGAAAGGGCTGTCCAGCCCTGGCACAGGCTGCCCAGGGTTTTAAAAGCCACGAGGATGTGGCACTTGGGGACACAGGTTAGTGGTGGCCTTGGCAGTGCTGGGGGAATGGCTGGACTCGATGGTCTCAGGGGGCATTTCCAACCTGAACAATTCCATGATGTTCCTTCCCTAGGATGCTGCTGCCCCCAACGTCCCCCAGTGGGTTTTGTAGGGGGGCTGCCCAGGAGCCAGGGCTGTCCTTATCCCTGCTAACTCCTCCTGGGGTGTGGTGTGAGCTGGGAGGGAGGAGGAAAATCCAGCAGCACCATTTCTGAAGGTTTCCCACTCCCTCTGACCTTGAAAAAGCCATTTTCACCTTGCTGTGTCTTGGTCTGGATTGCTGCTCACTGTGCCTGTGCTGCATTAGGGGGGATGTGACCCACTTTCTAGGGGTCCTTCCCATGCCTGGTGCCATGGGATTTTGGAGCCCTGCCCCTGCCATGGGGAGGGGTAGGGGGGAGGTTATTGTTTTTACAGCTCATTTCCTTTGCTTCCCTTTTTCCCACCTCAGTAAAATACGTTTTTTAAATTCAGAATTTAAATATAATGCGAATTCAAGTCTGAGGCCTCTGAAAGCATCACGTGGGGCTGTTTATCTCCTGAGGCAGAGGCAGCATGTGTGAACACAAGGAAACTGCTGCCAGAACCCCCTGGCCTCGGCTCATCCAGGCTCTGGGGAACGGAGCTGGCGATTTCCACTTGCAGGAGGCTCCCTCCCTCCTCCTGCCACGCTGAGGATATTCCTGCCTGATACAGAAGTGGCAGAAAGGTTTTACTAGTCCTGGAAGCAGCAGTTCTCCTGCACTGAATTGTGGATTTCCACCAGCTTTGCAGGAATTCAGCCCCTCTCTGCTGCTGGCAGTAAATCAGCAAATTTGGGAGGCGTTACGAAGGGGAGCAGCTGTTTGCAGCCATGGAAAGGTCCTGGATGTGCCTGGCACAAGCCCCTAGAAGAGCAGGAAGTGCTGGCACTGCTGGGTGCAGGACCAGACAGGGAAGAGAGGGAACATCAGCATCAGCCACAGCTAATCCCATCCGTGTCAGCCTGTCTGAGCCCAGCCAGCTCCTGGAGCCAAGGACTACAGCAGGATAACCTTGCTCATCCCTGCTCCATGGGGGTATGGGGAGCTGCATCTGAAACCAGCCCCTGGAAGCACAGCCTTTCCCGGGAGATTTGGGTTCTTGCATCCAGCTCCTTGTTCTGCAGTTCACTTCAAACGAGGGCAGAATTGTCCTTTACAGTGGGATTTAAGCAGCCTGAGTACTTTTAGGCATGACACGCACCTGGCTTGGATCTGGTGGGCAGTTTGGCAGAGTCAGAGAGGGTCAAGGAACAAAATCCTGAATTTTCTCTGGAGTTTCAGCCCTTCTGCACTGAGTAGGTCCATGGCTGAGCTGATGCCTGGCTGCCATTCATGGGAGAGAGGAAACTCAGTGAGCACAGAGGTGAAGTGAGTTATTCTGCAGGCAGCTGAGCTGACAAAGTTGTTTCTCATGGATTTCTGGGTGTAATCTCCTTAAAATATCAAGTCTTTGTCCAAAATTACATGAGGGTTGTCAGTGGGTCCCAAGCTACTGATGGAGGAAGGTGGGCAAGCAGCACACAGCCTGATTTGCTCTGAAATAAGGGCTAGAAAGAGTTCTAGACAATCCCAGAACCTGCTGTGGTTTGGGATGCAAGCAGGATGTGACCCAGTCATGGGAATTTGAGCCCTGTGCCTGGCTGGAGGGGTGAGGTTGTAACAGGGAGGGCTCTTTGCTTTTAGCTGGTGTGGATGAGAAGGAGGAGCAGGCTGTGCCTGGCAGTGCCTGGCTGGATGACAGTGCTCCGCAGCGGGACCGGGCTGTGTGCCCAGCTCCAGTCTGGCCTTGGGCTGCCTGCAGCCTCTCCCAGACCTTTTGGGAATTTGGGAAGGGGGGGCAGACTCCAGCACCCTAGGGTGAGGAGGAGTTTGGGGAGAAGGGAAGCAGAGCTGGCACAAAACTACCCCAAGGTGCAGCATTTCAGTGTCCTCCTTCCACTAAGCAGAGCTTCTCCTTAGCAGTACAATCCTGAACTCCCTGCTGGGGATCATCTCACTTGGAAATCCCTTATCCTGGCCTTTTTCCTGTGGTCTACACACAGGCATCCCAATTTATCAGGCTGGCCCCCTCCCATTTTTCCTGCCCAGTATGTCCCCCCCACTTTGTTGCCCTGTTCCCTGTAATTGCTGCAAACCCAGGCAGGATTTGGAGAAGAAACAAGCAGAGCAGGCAGAGGGGTCAACACTGCAGGGACAGCCCTGAACTGCTGAGCCAGCTCAGCCCCAAACGACAGGGGATGTGGAGATGCAGCTGGGCTGCCTTAACCACCCTGCGGTCCCCCCTTGGCATCCTGCCCCCCCCCCTTCCCCAGATCCCAGCCCTTCCCTCCGGATTGGAGCGCCCTCTCCCCCCCTCCCTGCTCTCCATCTTCATGCAGTCTGCAGAGGTGCATTGTGGGAAACTCCCAAGTTTCCCCCCCTCCTCTGCCTGCCTCCCTCCCTCCTCTCTGCGCAGAGCCAGCTCCCGAGGTGTGACTCGTCCAGCCGGAGGACAGAGGTACGGGATGGCGCTGGGCCGGGGGGTGAGGGGCGGAGGGGCCGGGGGTCCCGGCCCTCGCAGGGGGAGTGCAGATGTCCGCCCGGGGTGACAAAGCGAACAGAGACACGGAGCACCTGCTCAAGGTGAGGTGCCCAGCTCCTCGCAGCCGCCCGGGATGGAGGCCGGGGCTGCCATGCCGGCCGGCTCTGGAGCGGGGACCCGCACAGCTCTCCCTGCCAGAGGCAAAACGCGCCTTTTTAACCCAAAACGAGGAGCCCGGTGAGGACGGCTGGCCCCGAGCGGCTCCCTTCCCGTGCCCTCAGCTCCCGCGTTCTTGCTCTCTGAAGTCAGGCAGAGAAGGCTGTTCCTGCAAACGCACGAGCTCCTGATGCCTCCTGCCTGCTCCTGCCTGCGGCTTCCCGCTGCCCTCCTACCTGCTGCCCCTGCGGGCAGTGCCTTCCGCGCTGCCGATCCAGCCGCGCTGCCGATCCCAGCCCCGCTGCCGATCCCAGCCGCGCTGCCGATCCCGCTGCCCCGCCGGGCTCCGGAGAGGGGAAGGAGAGGGCCCGGGTGCGGCAGAAACGCTCCGGAGGCAGAAGGGCTGAGCGGCCGGGGAAGGAGCCGGCCATGCGCCGGAAACAGGGCTGCTGGGAGGGAGTAGGGGGAGCAGCATCCCCGGCTAGACCGCTCCAGCCTTGGCAGGAAAGCTGGTACACCTCCTTGGAACGTTTTGAGCGGTTTTCCCAGCTGTTTGGTTTTTTGTTGGGTTTTTTTGTTTGTTTGTTTTGTTTTGTTTTTTGTTTGGTTTTGTTTTGTTTTGTTTTTTCTCTCCTATCTGCGTGAGTTTGCTTGCCCTTCGCTCTGCCTGGATTTCATGGCTCTTCTTTAATTCCGTCAGTGCCGAGGCAGGAGGAAAGCGTGCCCAGGAACAGCCAGCAGCTTGGCTCAGCCCTCACCTTTTCCAAGGAAAGGGGGGTGTTTTGTTAGGCAAGGGGAGCTTTGATATCAAGGAGGGGGGTTATCCTTGGATATGACCCCTGGCTTGTGCTGGAAAGGAGCTCACAAAGGGAAATCTGCCCCACCCCCCCAAAAAAAAACCCCAAAACCAAAAAGGAGAAAGATGACAGAGCCAATAAGTGCCTATTTTAAGGGAGAATATTGCACCGAAAGGGGTGGGAGGGAGCAGGATACCAGACCAGGGCTCCTGAGTCACGGTGTGCGCTTCCAGGGAGAAAACGCTTTGGGAACGTCTCAGGCTTTTCAGTCCCTGCTCTCTGCGCACCCATGTGCATCCCCGTGTTTGCAGGGACTTGTTGATTTATTCGCTCCTGTTTACTTCTCTGCCTACCTGGTGGCTTCTGGGGAAGGGGAAGAAGGAGGATTTTTTAAAAATTGAATCGAGGTCAGCTTGGAAAAACTTGGGTATTGGGACAAGAGGAGGAAGCCTCCCCGCGGCCGCCCCCCGGCGCAGCCCCGCTTTCCTGGGTGGGGCTTGGGCAGGATGCCGTCAGGAGAGGGAGGATGGACTCCGCTGGATTAAGCTCCCTGCTCCATCTCAAGCCTGACCTCCAAAAGTCTGACCTTCACAGGTTTGACCTTCAGCGTTCTCCATCTGTCCTTTCTCAGCCACGGTGCTCCACACCAGCCTCTAACCCCGTGATACTGTGGAAGGATGGGGGAAGAAATTCCAGATTTCCTCTGCATTTGGATACTCATCCCTCTGCATCCATCCCCTCCGCTGGAGGCTGGCGAGTGCCCTGGCACAGTCTCCCCATCCTGGGTTGGGTGTAGGGACAGGCAGACAGGGCAGAGGGAGGGATGGAGCTCTCTGGGCAGGGATTTCTATGCTGGAGGAGCTTTGGCCATCCTTCCCAGATCTCATTCCCAGCTTTCTGCAGGGAATGAGAGCGCTCTGGTTTTGCTGCACAAGGGAAGGGATGGGTTTTACCCCGGAGCATGCCAGGAGCATGCCTGGAAGGTCACTGCCTCGTGTGGAATTGGCCCCTTGTCTGCCTGCAGTGGCTTCTTACGTTTCAGCTGCAGAGCAACAGTTTCCAGGCTGACGCCTGCAGATCCGGGGGCTGCCAGATTCCAGACCCAGCTCTGCACGTGTGGAATTGCCTCCAGAATCTTTTTGCTGGCCACAGCTGAGCTGCAAAGGGGGTGATGGCATGAAAGGCTGGTGTGATCCTGCATCAGGCAGAAGGGATGGATGCCCATAAGCTGGGGAGCGATGATAAATTTTCTGCTGCTTCCTGCAGTGGTTGGGGTTATTTTACTGTGTCCCATACATGCCTCATCCTTTTTTGCTTGAGAGTACTGAATTTGGGATACTGGCCTCAGGAAGAGGCCCTAGAAGCAAGATCTATCAGAAAGGAAACCAGCCTTCTGCAGCTGGGAACTGGCCTTTGGCTGCTCAGTTTGGAAGCATCTGTCCTCTTGCCCAAGGCTTTTCCCAAGTGCTGGCAGGCTCGGGGTAAGGAGCGGTGCTTTGTGGTGGGAAGGAATGGATGTCCACCCTTATCCAAGAGGCAGGGAACACTCGCTGACCCTGTCATGTCATCCCTGAGCTGGCACCACAGATGCAGAGCTGAGCAGAGACCTGAGCCCTGCCCCATGGCCCCAGCCAGGGTGTTAGGGTGGATGTGGGAAATCCCTATTCCCTGGGGAGCATTTTGGGGGTGTACCCTCCCTCCTGGGCTGTAACCTCCCTCTGCATGCTTGAGCAGAGCCAACATGGTGCAGACCTGCAGGAGCTGGAGGAGGGAGAGTCGCTGATGCCAAGAGATGGAGCTGTGCTTGGTGGGGTGATTGTTACCTTTTCAATAGCAGGAGGCTCCTGGGCTGGCTTCTCCTGGACTTTGGGGCTCTGGTGACCTGCCTTCTGGTGTCACAGGAGGTCCCAGACTGCCCCCAGGAAGGGCTGTGCCACCTCTCAGTGCAGTAACTCATCCCCAGTGCCACAGAGTCCCTGGCATTGAATTTTTGGCTCTGGAAGGGCTGGAAAAGCATTATAAAAACCCAAAATGAGTGTGTTTGGAAAAGTCAAGACCTGGGGAGGTGCCCAGGGTAGGGTGCAGGATGCACCCATATCCCTGTGAGGTGTCACACTCGTGGGTTAAAGCTCCATGATTCCTGTTGCTGCTGCACATCTTCTACTGCATCTCCCGACCTGTTCCCTATTGAAACCACTCCAGTGCTTTGATACAGTGTCCTGACAAATAACCGCCATGGAAAAAAAGTCATCCTGCTGACAGTCCTTTCCTTTGTTCCCTGAATTTCTGTCTTGGGGTGAGGGGTGCTCAGTTCTGCCAGGGAGAGGCTTAAGACCTACTGAAGGGTAAAAGCTACCATTTTGTTCTGCTACAAAAAATAGAACAGCATTTAGTTCTGTGTCTGAGGGGGGATCAAACCCAGGATTAAAGCTGGGCCAGCACAGCAAAGTGAGGTGCTCTGAACCCTCTTCTGGGGGCACGTGGACTGTGTTAGGGCCCTGAGGAGCCAGGCTTTGCAGCGGGGTATTTCCAACCCAATCTCAGCAAAGTGTTTTCACATCCTCTCAAATCCTGGAAATTATTTTCCTGTAAGATGTGTCCGAGGGTGCAGCTGCACGGTGGGGGCTGGTGGCACTGGTGACCAGGCGGTTGTACAGCCTTGCCAGGTGTGAATCCTCCCACCAACAGTGGGTCAGGGCCGTGCCGGGTGTACCTCGGTGCCCACCCCCGCGGGCGTCAGTCGGAGCACGTGGCTGGAGCACAAAACCTCCTGTTTCCCACGGCTGTTTTGGTAATGCCTTGGTTTTGCTGTGTACGTGGCTGTGTACAGCCAGGGGGGGCTTACCAGGGCAGGTTGGAGCTGTGTTTGGGGTTAAAAAACCCAAAAAGAACAAAAGCTTAGCCCCTGGCAGGAGTGTGGTGTGTCTGCAACGCCTCCTCCCTCTCTCGGAGAATAAAATGTCTGCCACGTCCATCCCAGGAGGCCTCTGGGGACAGGAGGTGTGTGGCTTGCAGAGGTGGCACTTGGCTCAGAACTTGTCATCTGCAGAGGTCATGGTGTGGGAAGAGACCATAAATGTCCTTTCTCTGGGCTCTTCCTGGCGGGGAGTCTGAAGTGCTGTGTCACCTCTGTGGGCAGCGTGGCTGGGCAGCCTCCAGAGAGGACACTGGCACCAGTGTTACCAGCCACCTCTGTGCAGTTGGTAACCCGGGGTCTGCATCCCACAGCCCTTCCCTGTGCAGCAAAAGCTGCCAGTTTTGCTGGGCCACAGGAGCCCGTCCTGTTCCCACATCTCACGCTGGGGCCAGGTATAACCCAATCACCCGGGCTGGGAGAGGTGACACAGCTCAGTGACAGTGGGAAAGAGGAGGGGTTGGTCCTGGCCACGCTCTGGGGGCTGTGGGGGTGGTGGATGCTGGTTTTTGGTCGTTGCCAGCCCCAGCTGGACCAGCGGTGAGTGTGCTGGGACTCGGAGCAGCCGCAGGAATGCCGCAGCCACGGAGCAGAGGCTGTGCTGGCAAATCTCCCCCTGTGGCAGCAATTTGAGGCTGCTGCCACTGTTAAAATACTTCAGCATCTGACAGTCTCCATGTCAAGATTCAAAGGGCTTGTTTGAGAGGGAAATGTTTAATCCAGGGCCGGGGAAGGGGAGGGGGGGGATGTGGGGAGTAGCAAACAACAGATTGGGAAAAGGATTCATAAATATCTCATCAGAGTGAAGTGGGTCAATGGTGTTTGCTGTGACTTGGTGCTGCTGTCTCCAAGGGTTGGATCTGGGAGGGCTGGGAAGCACAGCAGGCTCCTGCACAGCCTGTTCCTGGTGCACTGAGGCTGTTTAAAAGCATCTGTGACAAGTGACTCCGCTGGCGTGGTGCTTGCGTTGTGTTTCATCACATTCGCTGTGCGTTGCGTCAGGAGTGGGGGGCTGAAACAGCCTGGCAGGGAGCTAAAACCCTCCTTGGGGAGCTGCTCACGGCAGCTGAGCGAACACAAGCTCCTTATGTAAAGCTGCTTTAATATTTATGGTAATATCAAGAGGCGGTGCATTACCTCATCTGTCTTCACAGCACTTCTTGGGGACAGGAAAGGCTTAGTCACTACTCTGCCGTCGCTCCTCTCGGGTGCTTGCCTGGCATCTCCCTGCCTTTAACGTGTTTTTTCCTCCAGCAGCTCAGAAAAGGGGAGAAATGCTATTTTTCTCCCAT